TATAAAACCTTAAGCTATATCTGTTACTGGATGAAATCATGAATGGGATGTTTATTATGACCGTTTGATCATTTTCGTTTCACACAAATTTTTTTCCCTTATTCGACTAAGACCTTTTATTTCTGATCCTAATGGACGTATCCTGAAGACTTTTGTTTCCATTATATTGTCCGTTTTATAATTCTCGAGTTACGTTTAAACTTTGGAGGCTTTATCATTAAGTATTTTCAGACTACCGAGGTGTTCCTTGAGAATTTATCCCGACGATTTGGAAGGAGAGGTTTGTCGGTTTTATGTTTCTCGTTTTGCGTAAGATTTTGAATGTCACTAATTTTGCAGCTGTCTAATTCTACATTTATAAACCTTCTAATGAATTAAGCCTGAAGATATCAGAATGATTGAAGGTTAAAATGATTCGAGTTGAAGTTACGATGCCAAGAATTTCTGTAACATGCAGTTCACTCAGAGAATATGGAATAATAAACTCCAGTTTCAAGAGGTAGTATGTGTTTTGGCACCAACAGACCGACTCATTTGTTAATCAGAAACAGGTTATATACATATTACACAAATAAAGGTATTTTATTTTGAGTGTGGTTATATATAACCCTGTCCTACAACTTGGAGTAGAGAACCGATGGTGTATTCAGGAGGGGCGGTCATAGGGCCATGGCCCTCCCTTCACACCCGTGAAAAGTCTTATTTTGAAGTGCAAATTATGCTCAAAACTCATCTCAGGCATTTTGTAGATATGCTGCCCATGAGAATATAAGGTGGGCTGTAGAGGGAAGTAGGGGGTTGGAGTTTTTTGATTTAAGAATATTTCCATTTTTTACCACATTCCAAATATGAAACGGTTGCTAACATGATAGTTCATGCTGACACAAATAAACACTTATCACATAGAATTACAGTCTTATATCGTATTAAAAACCATTTTCCGCAAGGAAGCAGAAAGTGACACAGTGGTATTTTTATTTTGCTTTTGTCTGTAACCTTGCATACCACTACGATCGAAAAAAATACAACATAGAACTCCCTTTTGCATTTAAGATATTATTTAGTCTTTCATTGTCTTAGATAACATGTGAAACCAAGATTAACACAGTGTTATTTATTATGGCGTGTCGAGCTTAATTTACTACTTTTGAACAGAAAAGTAGGACGCAAAAGTCCTTTTCATATTACTTTTATATTCTATATATATTCTATTTCAAAATAGATTAAACTAACAACATCTGATTTATTCTGGTTTATCTAAAAATACTTCCTGATTTCCAAAGACAATTACAGGAATTCGTTAAAAGGAACGCAGTTGGAGAGATTGGAACAAAAAACCTCCTGGAAAAAATTCCAAACCAAGCATGAAATCTAAAAGTAATGTACTTTCGGAACACTTACTCGTGACAAGAGTTTATTTAACACAACTATCACAGGTATTGGTTGAACCTCTAGAAAAAAATAGAATGTATGAGATCATAGCGTTAAAAGAAAGCTCCATATATATCCAAGAAACCATATTTAGCGTATTTGACCTCGAACTTATATTGTAAAGGATGTAAATTCGCTCCCAGAGCATGGCGCTAAAGAAAGCTCCAGGGAGAGGGGTCCCACTCATCATGTCGAGCCTCTGTTTATTTACATGGGAACCATATTTAGCGCATTTGATCTCAAACTGTCCTCAACATTCGTCAATTCCTGATTATTATTTTCGTGGTATATCTAATTCTTTGGTTACTGAAAAGGGATAACATAGCTGCGATGTTTAAAATATATTTTTGTAGGATGAAGGGAGAGGAGGTTTTCACCCCCTGAGAATGTGGGACTAGGGTGACAGGGGTGTGGCCAACTGGTGTAGGAGAAGAATTTGTTTTGAATTGAGAGAGCACATAGCATCAACATATGATGAAAATGTGGATGAAACAAATTTTTGGGGATGTGAAAGGTACAAGTGATTGCTCCAGGGGTGTGAAGGCTTAGAAAGGTTGGGAATCACTTAAGAGATAATACAACTTGTTTTGAGCTGTCACCCGAATGCGTCTATTATCGTAGTTTTGCACCAATTAATATAACCAAGAATTAACCATAATAAACCAGATGGTAGAACTCAATATCACATATTCATGATTTTTTTCAGAAAAAAATCTCACTTCCGGTTTGCTTTCAATCAGTTCAAAAGCACTGCACTCGAAGCAATGAAGTGTCAACCAATAATGTCATACAATTCTATTCATTTTCTTAACTCGCAAAGATTTGATATCTTCAAATAACAATATTTTAATCATGAAAGTACTTTAAGATGGTTGAAAACTTGACTAAAAATAACAATCCTTTATAGCCTGTCAATCTCGCATTTGGTTTAATTTCATTTCTTTTTACAAAACTCTAAAAGAATATCAGATTCATAAAAGAATCATCACATAGTTTTTACATCTACAAATTCAGAAACTGATTCATCAAGTATTTCATGAATTGAAGTAGCTCTTCAACATCATCTTCATTTTCTTAACCGGAAGTGACATCAACACAGATTTTTCGAAACTTTTTACTTTCACAGTCTTTGACTTTTTACTGCGCAATTAACAGTGTTAAAATTTTCTTCTAAAAACATGACAGATTTCAAACAGTTTTTCGGGTAATTTACGTCGGCAATCCTGACAACCGGAAACAGAAATGTTCCGGTATTAAAATAATGTTGTTAAAATTTATCCTCGTTTTCATTTTATTTCGTCTGTCACGATTTCAGAAGGCAATTTCCCGCCATTAATATCACGTCACTGACTTCTAATTATTCAAATCACTTCAAAATGGCGACAATTTCCGTTTGATGAAAGTTGGTGTGATGGCACGAACACCAGGAATGGAGTTTTTCGTCTTACTTTTTCAGAACTTATCATTCTCACGAACACGACGAGCATCAACAACTAGCCATCGTTAGCTTTGTCTGAATTATTCAAACGAATCGTTTCCTTTTCACTGTCCCATCAGCATTCAACAAACATTTGTTACGCTATCCCCGGAATTTAAACCTGGTTACGAGCAAAATATAACTTTTGAATCTACAAATGACTAGCAATTTTTCAATATTGAAGACATGCAGTGTAGCCTACTGGAGAAAGACCTTGCCATAGAGCAATGAGACTGTATAATACTGTATAATACAACGAGATAATCATGTTCAAGGATTAGAGGTATACTTCCTACGAGAATGAACATAAAATTTAAACTCGCAAACTTGGCTTCGTAATATTACAAATACTACAAGCAGTCATGGACAAAGTTTTATGAATTTATCACATTATACAGTGATTCTGATGTATATTTGTAACACTGGGTAAGTCGAACTGATGAATATATTATCTTATTGTCCAAAGCATAATTGAAATTTTATGTTCATAATATGCTTCTAAAGTTACAAGATAATGAGCTTAATGTTCGAGTCTATTTAACAGTGTCAGGTATCTAATAGAAGTTTTAAATATCTTGAAAGATAAAAAAAAATGTACTTGAGTTTCATTTCTACTTTCAGTTTTCAAGTTTATTTTAAATTGCCATTGATCAGTGTCTTTTCTTGCCTCTCGAAATACATGTATTGTCACACTTTTTAAAAATGAAGTTGTAAGACCATCCTGACTGCAATAGGAAACATTCTATGACAGTAAATATATTTCGGACAAAGAAGGGGAGAGGGTTATAGCCACAATGTTATTCGAAAAAGAGGAGAGCCTAGACATTTTTAATTTTCGGACTCCTTGACATAAAACACCCGGGCAGATATTCTTGCACACAACAAAATGGATTAGAGTTCAGATATATTCATAATTTTTCATTTAACTATTCATTATAAACGCTGATATTGGCCTGTTTATTTTAATATCCATTAGTTTAGACAGTGAGGTCAAAATACAAAATGGCTGCGGGTGATTGAGAAGCAGACGTTACCTAACCGGAAGCTATTTGTCAAGATTATACAAGAAAACACGAGACAATTTGTTAATGGATGAAGTCAAATTTTTATTTTCGTCATCTTAAAGTTTGACAGCTGATTCATTTTGACGTCTGCGATTCCAGACGTTAGAAATGTGTCCATGTCGCCATTAGCAACCGTTTCAATATTTCAAAATTCTGGTAGACAGAATCTAATAAATATTTGACAAATTTTGAAGATGCAATCAGTCAGTTTGAAACTTAAATCTGGTACATCCGAATTTGGTCTGGTCTTTTCTAGCCCCTAAAACATAACCTAAAGTTAGGTGATGTTTAGTGTTTCTATTGTCAATAGTATGACAGTCAACCATCCTATGGAATGTAACCTAGAGTTAGGTGATGTCTAGTGTGTCTAAAAACAGAGACATGAAGATCATAATGTAATGTTAAGAGGTTATATTTATTGAGGTTACTGTGACATAGCACATACCCACACCTTGATATTCACAGCTATCAGTAATATCAATATAATATTTACATCTCATATTCACATCTATTCATTGACTGATCCAAATATAAACTGGGGCCGTCACGACAAACTATTTCTATACAATTAATGACCTGTATGTGCCATGAAGCAAAGTCATTTCTGGGAAATTGATACTAGAAATTGAAACCCATGTTAGCTAGCTATGTTTATGTTAATATCTATCTCGGGAAAGTCTCCATTTCAACTAGGAGCAGGTAGAAAAACACGACAAATTTTAAATCATACGTCCTTATAAGGTATTTAAGAAACTATTTCTTGGAAATCGGAAGCAACTATATAAACGTGACTATTCGTGGAAATCTTTCTCATACAACGCTGTGGTTCACATCAGACTGGTTGGTGAACGTCAATAAATTAGAACTTCTTCATGAAATATCCAAAGTGTTTTTTACCTGAATGTTATATTTTCAACCAGGACATCTCTACTGTGTTTTATACCTGAATATTGTATATTCAACCAGGACATCTCCAGAATATTCTATTTGCATATAAGAGATCTCCAGTGTGTTTATGAAGGAATACCATGGCCACATCTTTAGTGAGTATCATACCAGAATGTTCCATCTGTCTAAAGACACCAAAAATTTTACCTTGTGGACACACTTTCTGTTTGGGTTGTTTAGAAATATTAATTAGCGATAAAACAAACACATTCCCCTGTCCGATCTGTCAGCAAGATGTTAAGATTCCAGAAGGTGGTGCTAAGATGTTCACTACCAACTTTATACTTCAAACATCCAAACATACAACACAAGTAAAAAAACAACCTCCCTCGACAACACAACCAAGATGTCCCAACCACAATCAGAGGGAGGTAGATTATTACTGTAATGATTGTAATATAGGACTGTGTTCAAAGTGTATATTTAAACAACACAAATATCATGAAACACTGGATTCAAAATGTGACGAAACACGGAGTAAAGCAATAGAAAACCTTGAACGTTCACAAAATATCATCCAAAACAGAATCAAAAACTTGGAGAAAACACGCTGTACATTATTAGAATCATTTGAACAACTGAAAACTTTGTGTGAAAATTCCTGCACTAGGGTGACTGCAAAAACTGAGCAAATTGTTTCAGATGTAAGACAACGTTGTGAACAGATCATCAAAGACATCGGGAAAAATTTGAAAGAAAATAAGAGTAAAGTAGAGGATAGAGAAATGGAAATTGTATGTGAAATAAATAGATTAGAAAGAAATTCAGAATTAAATATTTCACCTTCAAGTAAATCAACATTAAATATTTTACAAACATTGCCTCGTTTAGTAGAAATAGAAAAACAAAGTAGGAAAGAGAATAATATGTGTTTACAGTATTTACAGTGGGGTGATGATGATGATGATGAAGAAGCAGATTATAGTGATGAAGATGATGATGATGAGGATGATGACGAGGAGGATGAGAAAAGTGAATTTATTTTAAAGCAATTAGGGTCGGTTATTTCTAAACCATTTTACATACCAGGTTCGTATCAGTTTCTGTATGATTTAACTGATGTAGAGAATAGTGGTGGTATTTATTACCATACAGACAAGTTTAGAAACAACAAGGTGGTATGGAGTTGTGGTGCAAGGAGGCATTCTGATGGTTTGTTTATCTATATAAAACTTTTACCCGATGACAGCCATAAAGTAGACTATTGTATTATTGATTATCAAATCAGTGTATTGAATTTTGATGATGACAGTAAAACTAAAACCAAAACAATAATGTACAAGAGATTAAAGAGAGGTAGCGGGTGGAGTTGGTTTTGGCGAGTTCTACCCTGGTCTAAATTTGATGATAAAAACAATGGTTATATAAATTCTAACGGCCAGTTTCTGGTTCGATTCTACATAACACAAATCAGTGAAATATCATGGAAGTAAATTTTAGTCAGTAAAATTACCAGAGATAGAATTATGATTTCTATCCAGTCTAAAGTCTTAATTATTGTAGAAAATACATTTCAACTAGTAATAAATCATAGATTAACCTCCCAATTCATACCAACTAGAAATAAATCATAGATTAACCTTTCAACTCATACCAACAAGAAATAAATCATAGATTAACCTTTCAACTCATACGAACTAGAAATAAATCATAGATTAACCAACTCATATCAACTAGAAATAAATCATGGATTAACCTTTCAACTCATACTAAATAGAAATAAATCATAGATTAACCTTTCAACTCATATCAACTATAAATAAACCATAGATTAACCTTTCAACTCATACCAACTATAAATAAATCATAGATTAACCTTTCAACTCATATCAACTACAAATAAACCATAGATTAACCTTTCAACACATACCAACTATAAATAAACCATAGATTAACCTTTCAACTCATACCAACTATAAATAAATCATAGATTAACCTTTCATCTCATATCAACTAGTAATAAATCATAGATTAACCTTTCAACTCATACCAACTATAAATAAATCATAGATTAACCTTTCAACTCATACCAACTATAAATAAATCATAGATTAACCTTTCAACTCATACCAACAAGAAATTAACCATAGATTAACCTTTCAACTCATACCAACTAGTAATAAATCATGGATTAACCTTTCAACTCATACCAACTAGAAATAAATCATAGAGTAACATTTCAACTCATACCAACTAGAGATAAATCATAGATTAACCTTCCATCTCATACCAACTAGAAATAAATTATAGATTACCCTTTCAACTCATACCAACTAGTAATAAATCATAGATTACCCTTTCAACTCATACCAACTAGAGATAAATCATAGATTAACCTTTCATCTCATACCAACTAGAAATAAATCATAGATTACCCTTTCATATCATACCAACTAGAAATAAATCATAGAGTAACCTTTCAACTCATACCAACTAGAAATAAATCATAGCTTAACCTTTCATCTCATACCAACTAGAAATAAATCATAGATTAACCTTTCAACTCATACCAACTAGAGATAAACCATAGATTAACCTTTCAACTCATACCAACTAGTAATAAATCATGGATTAACCTTTCAACTCATACCATCTAGTAATAAATCATAGATTAACCTTTCAACTCATACCATCTAGTAATAAATCATAGATTAACCTTTCATTTAATCGCAACTGGAAATAAATCATGATATCTCCTCTTTAGATTTACCAATTATCAATTCCATCTCTTCTCCCACTTACCAGTATTTCTTTGTAAATATTTGTGAATTTGTATTTCGTTAACAATATTTGTAAATTTGCATTCCTTTATCAATATTTGTGAATTTGTATTTCGTTATCAATATTAACATTTCTTTATTAACATTTGTAAATCTATTTTTATGTGTAAATATTTGTGAATTTATATTTCAATATAGATTTTCAGTGGTATAGCCGTCAAAATATATAACGCTATATTATTCTTAATACGACTTCTCCTGGACATAATCTTGGTTTCATTTGTATATAACCAGTCTAAACAATCAGGTATCCTTTTCTGTTCATATTCTTTTTTCTGTTAATAATTGGCTTTTTGAGATTATACAACTCTTGTTAGTTTAAAGAGAGATTTTGCACAATATAATTTTTACAAGACCTTGAAGTGACGTATTGCAAATTGTGTACACAATTGCTTTGGAGTCTGTAGATCTCAGTTCTGGGCCAATTTACCTTGAGCTTTGGCATCACTTCCGCATTTGGTATGAGAAGTTTATCAAGATCACATCAAGCGATCCCGCTTTCGGTGTAAAACGGAAATTTCGACAAAAACAAAACAGATTCTCAATTCATACTATCTTGAATCACAAGATAAAATCCAAGCCAGAAATGATGCAGTTTTCATAGAGTTGTGTATTTTGCATAATATGATACGTTCGTCATTTTGTATCTGTTTTGTATGATTTTGGTATACATCAAATATTTACAACATAATTTAACACCTGTTGAGAAAGGTTGATTCGAATTTTGAACGTGACCTAGGCCTTTAATGACCTTGATATTTCAGTGTTGAATGTCATTACAGATAAGTTTGATAAACATTCATTTCCATCATTAAATGTTCTTTTTGAAACTGTGGAGACTGTGCCATATTTTCTAACAGACATGAGGACTTTTACGGTCGATGTATATAATTACCCCAACTCTGGCATAAATTCTAATTCCTGGTGTATTTATTCCAAATAAATGTGGTTTTCAATAATCCGACCACAGTTCGAATCCGAATCACCGTTCTTCTCGAACATTCTTTTGACCATGACAAATTGACAAAATCTAAGGAGATGTTTTGTTATTTATCCTTTCAAAAAAGTTGTTATTGAAATTTTTGTCAAATTTTCAAACACAGATTTGTCGAACGTCAGTAGAGGTGGTAGGTTGTAGAGTTCGAATTTGGTGGGTTGTGAGAGGGGTCCGATACCAAGCTCATTAAATAACAATTAACTTGATTTTTTTTTTACTTTTGTACTTTTGTAATTTACGGTTAGTCCTCTATTCAATGATATGTAAACCCAAACCAAGCACAAACTCTATCTTCTAGTGTATTTAGTATCGAAGAAGTTTTCAAGAATAAGAATGTACTCTATATTCTCTATTTGATTTTGCTCGACATACATATTTTGTATATTTCTGGTGTTATGATGATTAATAGGTATTTAAAGTGAGTTATTCTTGTTCACATCGCGTTGTGAAATAAGCTAGTCAGAAAGCATAATTTGATTATGTTATTTATTCGCAAATCTTTTTTGCACATAGTTAACACAAAACAGCAATAGCTTCGTTTTTGGGAATAATAAGGTCAAAACAAGGTAACAAGGCCTCTTAAAGTTAATACCATCAAATAGACGTCAGGCCAATATGACATTGGGGTCTGTAATGAATATGAATGTATAAATATATTTATACATATATAGAACTCTTTGATGTTGTCATCTGAATTCTTTTTAATTGAAATATTGACAGACGCATCAGACTGGGAAGCAACACATATGCATCCCTGGTAGACCGCGGCCTGAACCTTAGTGCACCTTGGAGGAGTGGCTTCATCGCCCCAACGGCCTGTCATGGATACCGTGAGAAGTCGTGAGGAATGTTAGGAAAAACCCTAACAAAACATGGTTATGGATACAAAAACGGTCAAATTCCCGTGGCGCAATACGTTTCGGTCAAACCAGTTTGCCGTGGCCTCCTGGAGTATAGTGTAAACCTAGCATAAGGGAATAAGATGACCATCCTCTAGAATATAACCCGGGGTTACGTGATGTCTGGTATCTTCATAAACAGACAATAGTACAACAGTGGACCACCCTATAGAGTCACAAGACGTTCGAGTGGATCCTAAATCCCCCCCCCCCCCCTCTCTAGTGATCACACAAGATAATGTCCGCACACACGTGAAGTTTCGCACTACTTCCACAAAATATAAATCACAGTTTATCCAAATATTCCCTTGGAGACATCTAGTTAGTCCTTGTGTACTGGTATAACACACGAAGTTACCATTTATGAAAACCATCACATTCCTATGTAAGTTTAGATCTTACATTTACAGATGACGTAACTATATATCAACCACAGCTTATATACATCAAAGACGTAACTACAGCATTTTGTCATCTACAATACAAATTAATTATATTACAATATACGTCTAACAATATTTATGTTTGCGTAGAGGTTTACAACCGAGTACATGTATATCAATGGAACACACAATTTACCTTTCCCACGAAGAGGTTCACAAAAAATGTTTAAGTGAATAAAATAATTCTGTTTTCCTTACGCGAGTACTCATGCACACCCATTCTCACCATAAATCTATAATAACCATGTTCCAATTAAGGCCCAATTTCACCTAGTAGTAGCCCAATATGCTTATACACCTAGAACCATTCTACCGAAAGATACAATTCACCTAGAAGTATCAATTAACCAACACCAATTCCATCCTAAGCCACCTAGCATAGGATTCACCCAACATCTTAACCAACCGCCAATGTTTCCGGCATTATATATTATGCAGAACATACTTTAATGTATTCAGCTAACTGTTTAATAAAGGTATTTGATTTATGATTCAAAATGGCACTAATAGTCTAATACTACATATTCTATGCATGATAAAAGCTCGATTGTTGATTCAAAATCAGTAAAGGAAACTTTAGGACCCTTAAAAATACCTTTCTAGAAAGCTATGCTAAAAAAATGTTTCAAGTAGTGAGCACCGTGTTTTATTATACAATTACTTGCATGAGGGTGAATGAAATACGACTGATGATTTCAAGTAATTGTGACGACTTCTGGGCCTAGTTTCTGGGGAAGAAAAACCGAGTTTATAATGTAATAAAAAGAGTGTATATTTATTGAGGTCACATCAGTTATGCAAGTTGATATTGATATCCAATTGATTATTACAGAGGTTATTTTAACATGCTATTTATATACATTTTATCACGCGTGTATATAGTATGACTTTCTATGTGTTGTTGAAATCTTATACAATCTGTTGCGTATCTAATCAGTGATATCCAATCAGCTAGCTAAACAAGATATTGGTATTTTTTTAAATTTCGACAACCAATTTTTATACGCCCACGTGGAAATGTGGACGTATATTGCCATCGCGCATTTCCATACGTCCGTTCCATTTCTTGTAGGCACGATAGAGATGAAACCTAGTATACATGTGCTATCGATGAGATCTCAATCAAATGCGAAATTTGAAAAAGTCAAATGAATGAAAAGCGTCCAATTTGGCTTGTAGGCACGATAGAGACTGCAATTTGTATCCGATCTTGATGGCAAGCACAATTCATAAAAATTAAATCAGTATATAAGTGACTATAGAATGTATAGTATAGAATGACCAGAGAGAGGTTGTTAAAATAATACAGTTCTCTCAGTCATATCACTACCACTTGGAAATTGCAACGTATAGTTTATTCCAATAGAAGTAAGATCTTTGATCACTTTTAATCAATTTGACATGAAATTCCAACATGTTGCCGAGAGTCAATCATCAAAACACACGAATTCGTTCTGAATTTGAACTATTTAACTGTGTCAGTTTCCGGAAAATTCATGTCTGTTAACTTTTAAACATGAAAGTTCGCCCGAGGGGGTCATTATTTGTGTTTTCTGATAATAATTACACTTGGATAAATTGGGCAATGGCTTTTATGGACCGGGAAAAGAAAAGATTTAAATATGTTTTAATTGTGAACAATGTACTTCAATAATTCTTGTACATAGTTTTAAAATTCGTTTATCTTTTAGGTTTTTTTTATGTAACAAATTAGATCTGTGTTGAAAATTACATAAAATGACCGAATTGCGTGATAACTAACGCTATATATAACTATTCCACTCTTCAATAAAATAAAAACGAATCTACAAATTGTAGTCAGAAAGAAACATACCTAAACAATGTTATAAGGTTTTTTTGTCATCTGCCTTTATGAGCATACAACGTCTGACACTTTTTCCTTAAACATTTTCTTGGATTTCCGTTGGATGTTAATCATTTTCTTTTGCCATGACCTCATTCGTCGGATTGCTGATTTGGAACCGAAAATTAATTTTTATAAGGTCAATGATAAATGCTTCAAGTAGATTTTTTACCGGATAAACACGTATTTCCAAAGAATTTTATTATATATTTAAATCTCTGAGCTGTCGTCTTTTAATTTTCTTTTTAATTCAGTCTCTTAAAGCGACTGTCTTTAATAAAGAAGTTCTGACTGTCGCCATTACATTACCTTCGTTATTAATCCTACGAGACCCAGCAATAAAATTAGCAATTTTCAACTTTTAATTAAATTTTAGGAATGTTTTTATTTTTTATGAGAAATGATTTGGACTGGGCAGATTTTTAATTTTCTTAAATAAAATATTTTATAACTAGTGCTGAGAGTTCTGTTAATTTCGAGCCAAATCAAATTTTAGAACACAATTTTCTATTGAAATAAAATAACATTAAATAACAATTTTGAATGAAGAGTTTTTAAATCAGATGTTTTAATTACCAATGTGCTTGAGATTTTTCAATTTTGAGCCATGACTGTTTTCTGTTTAAATAACATTTCCAGATTTTCTTAACCAAATCCTAATTATGAATTAAAATTTTTTTTATTTTTCGTGCTTCCATAATTAGCTTTTTTAGGATGAAGTTCAAAGTTTTAATGATTTTTTCTACTAAAATAACCACATGAGATTTTCTCAAAAAACACAAATTTGAATTTTCATGACACGGAAATCAGAAATGTTACATCCACATTAAAAGCCACTGGTAAATTCCAATTCGATTTTTAACTTATTATATAAACTTGATCTTGAGTTCTTCAAACTTAAACTTGGACAAGTCGATTGAAGTTGACTTTCAATTCACTTTTTGTATTGTTACAAAAGAAATCGGGGCTACTCGTTCCTCTTCCTGTATAGTAATTGAAGTTATAGGGACTCGCTTCAGTAATATTCATTTGCCATCTCTGTCCATGTTAAATCACGAAATTCAACCTTCAATAACTTCCCAATATATCACATGAAAGCCAATACTTAGTTTCAATATATCATGACCATGAAAATCTTGAGCTAGTCAAACTGAAAGTAGATCACAACATCTTATCGACATCCGGTAGACTGTCACTGCACATAAAACGATTATATTTATGTAGACAATCAGTAATATAATGTAAAACAATGTAGGCGATCAGTAACACAATGTAAAACTATGTAGGCGACAAGTAACACAGTGTTAAAGAATGTAGGCGATCATTAACACAATGTAAAATAATATAGGCGATCAAAACACCATGGAAACAATATAGGCCATCAATAACATCATGTAAAACAATATAGGCGATTAGTAACACCATGTAAAACAAAGAAGGCGATTAATAACACCATGTAAAACAATGAAGGGAAGGCGATTATTAACACCATGTAAAACAATGAAGGGAAGGCGATTATTAACACCATGTAAAACAATGAAGGGAAGGCGATTATTAAAACCATGTAAAACAATATAGACGATTAGTAACACCATGTAAACCAATGTAGGCGATTAGTAACACCATGGAAAACAATGTAGGCGATTAGTAACACCATGTAAAACAATGCAGGCGATTAGTAACACCATGTAAAACAATGTAGGCGATTAGTAACACCATGTAAAACAATGTAGGCGATTAGTAATACCACGTAAAACAATGAAGGCGATTAGTAACACAATGCAAAACAATGTAGGCGATTAGTAATACCACGTAAAACAATGAAGGCGATTAGTAACACCATGTAAAACAATGTAGGCGATTAGTAATACCACGTAAAACAATGAAGGCGATTAGTAACACCATGCAAAACAATGTAGGCGATCAGTAACACCATATAAAACAATGTAGGTTATCAATGACCTATATTGCTATCTAATATTTTATCTAAATTGAACCCTGATATCAAGCATGTGACAAGATACGCCTCTTAAAAAGTATCTATTTCAACTGGGGGCAGATATTCCAAACTCTTGTTTATCGATTTTATCGCCTTTATAAGGAAATAAACAAGGAAGCCTTTTCTCGGAAATCTGAACCAGCTGGTATATAACGTGACTTTTTTAAGATATATTTCTCATACTGGTCTGGGTTTCACATCAGACTGGTTGGTGACTTTCAACAATTACATCTTCTTCATCACATATGCCATGATATTTCTCTAGAATACGTTACACCCACATCTCTACTGTGTTTTATAACCAAATGTTGTAGTTTCAACCAGGACATCGCCAGTTGTAGTGTGTTTTATATCTACATATTCTATTTTCAACCAGGACATCTCTAGTGTGTTTTATACATGAATATTCTATTTTCATCAAGGGCATTTCCAGTGTGTTTTATACCTGAATATTCTATTTTCAACCAGGACATCTCCAGTGTGTTTTATACCTGAATATTCTATTTTCAACCAGGACATCTCTAGTGTGTTTTATACCTGAATATTCTATTTTCAACCAGGACATCTCCAGTGTGTTTTATACCTGAATATTCTATTTTCAACCAGGACATCTCTAGTGTGTTTTATACATGAATATTCTATTTTCAACCAGGACATCTCCAGTGTATTTTATTTAAGAATAAGATGGCCACAGCTTCAGTGAGTAACACACCAGAATGTTCTATTTGTTATGAAGGTTTCACTATACCAAAAATTTTACCTTGTGGACACACTTTTTGTGTAGATTGTTTAGAGAGATATATTGGTGATAAAACAGAAACATTCCCCTGTCCGATCTGTCAGCAAGATGTTAAGATTCCAGAAGGTGGTGCTAAGATGTTCACTACCAACTTTATACTTCAAACATCCAAACATACAACACAAGTAAAAAAACAACCTCCCTCGACAACACAACCAAGATGTCCCAACCACAATCAGAGGGAGGTGGATTATTACTGTAATAATTGTAGTGTAGGATTGTGTTCAAAGTGTATAGATAAACAACACAAATATCATGAGACACTGGATTTAAAATGTGACGAAACACGCAATATAGCCTTAGAAAAACTTCAACGTTCACAAAATATCGTTCAAAAACAGAATCAAAAACTTGGAGAAATCTCGCTCTACATTATTAGAATCATTTGAACAACTGGAAACGTTGTGTGAAGATTCCTGCGCTAAAGTGACTGAAAAAACTGAGCAAATCATTTCAGATGTAAGACAACGTTGTGAACAGATTATTGAAGACATCAGGAAAAATTTGGAAGAAAATAGGAGTAAAGAAGAAGAAAGAGTAAGAGAAATTACAAGTGATATAAATACATTAGAAAGTAATAAGGTAACAAATGTACCTTTAACTGAAACAACATTAAACGTTTTATCAACCGTGTCCAGTTCGATAGAGATAGAAACACTTGGTGAACGTATGAATGACGATAATCTGTGGTATTTACATTGGGTTGATGACTTTGATGATGATGATGATGATGATGATGATGATGATGATGATGAGGAGGAGGAGGAGGAGGAGGAGGAGGAGGAGGATGATGAGGATGAGGAGGAGGAGCAGGATTTTAGGTTACATCAGTTAGGGTCGGTTATTTCTAAACCATTTTACATACCAGGTTCGTATCAGTTTCTGTATGATTTTACTGATGTAGAGCAAAGTAGTAATGTTTATTACCATAGAGACAAGTTTAGAAACAACAACCTGGTATGGAGTTGTGGTACAGGGAGGTATTCTGGTGGTTTTTATATTTATATAAGACTTTTTCCCGATGACAATTCTAAACTAAAATATTGTATTATTGATTATGAAATCAGTTTCTTGAATTTTGACGATGACAGTAAAACTCTAACTAGAACAATTAGTGACAAGAGATTAAAGAGAGGTGGTATGTGGAGTTGGTTTTGGCGAGTTCTACCCTGGTTTAAATTTGATGATAAAAACAATGGTTATATAAATTCTAGCGGCCAGTTTCTGGTTCGTTTCGACATAACACAGATCAGGGAAATAGAGTTTAGTCGGTAAAATTGCCAAAAACAGAATTATAATGTAAATTGAATAATCTTTAAATAAAACTCATACCAACTAGAAATATGTCATGGCTTAACATTCGTGTTTAATATTTTCTATAATCTTCATTTTTCAAATTTGTTCAATTATGCAATCCTATTGTAAATATAGCTAAGTTTATATTTCTTTGTCAATATTTATGTCCTGTGTTTATTATTGTTCTGTGGTACTTGGTTTATTTATTGTATTTTCTAGAATTATAATAAGGTAAGATTATTCATTTTTAAGTTTTAAAACTTGTATCGTATTATCAATATATGTATATCATCGTTAGTAGTTGGTTTATTTGTATTTTATTGTTAATATTTGTAAATTTGTCTTATATCAATTTTATTAAATATTTGTTATAAAATTTGTCGTTATATATCAGTACTAAATGTAGGAGAAATTGCGATCTTTCCATCGGGAATGTCTTTGAAAATGGGACTGGTTCCGAGCAGTTGAAGATTTGTCTGTGTCAATCCTATAGCCTCAACTCATACCAACTAGAAATAAATCATGGATTAACCTTTCAACTCATACCACCTAGTAATAAATCATAGATTAACCTTTCATCTCATACCACCAAGTAATAAATCATAGATTGACCTTTAATCTCATACCACCAAGTAATAAATCATGGATTAACCTTTCATCTCATACCACCAAGTAATAAATCATAGATTAACCTTTCATCTCATACCACCAAGTAATAAATCATAGATTAACCTTTCATCTCATACCAACTAGTAATAAATCATAGATTAACCCTTCAACTCATACCAACTAGAAATAAATCATAGATTAACCTTTCAACTCATACCACCTAGAAATAAATCTTAGATTAACCTTTCAACTCATACCACCAAGTAATAAATTATAGATTAACCTTTCATCTCATACCAACTAGTAATAAATCATAGATTAACCCTTCAACTCATACCAACTAGAAATAAATCATAGATTAACCTTTCAACTCATACCAACTAGAAATAAATCATAGATTAACCTTTCAACTCATACCAACTAGAAATAAATCATAGATTAACCTTTCAACTCATCCCCCAAGTAATAAATCATAGATTAACCTTTCAACTCATACCAACTAGAAATAAATCATAGATTAACCTTTCAACTCATACCACCAAGTAATAAATTATAGATTAACCTTTCATCTCATACCAACTAGAAATAAATCATAGATTAACCTTTCAACTCATACCAACTAGAAATAAATCATAGATTAACCTTTCAACTCATCCCCCAAGTAATAAATCATAGATTAACCTTTCAACTCATACCAACTAGAAATAAATCATAGATTAACCTTTCAACTCATACCACCAAGTAATAAATTATAGATTAACCTTTCATCTCATACCAACTAGAAATAAATCATAGATTAACCTTTCATCTCATACCAACTAGAAATAAATCATAGATTAACCTTTCATCTCATACCAACTAGAAATAAATCATAGATTAACATTCGTTGTCAATATGTGAATTTATATTTTGGTTTCAACATTTGTGACTTTTTCATTTCGTTGTCAATATTTGTGAAGTAGTATTTCTTTGTAAATATTTGTGAATTTGTATTTCTTTGTAATTATTTGTAAATTTGATTTTATTGCCATAATTGCTAATTTGTGTTTCATTGTCAATAATTATGAATCTATATTTCTTTGTAAATGTCGTAGAATTAAAATTTCAATATAGATTTTTAGTAATATAAACATCAAACTATACTGAAAGTCAAAAGAAACGTCACTTGGATGTATAATATATATTTCTTTATTTTCGAATCCGTATATATGCAAGTGAAGACATTGGAGAAAGTCGGTGTTTGACAATCATCAAAATTAACAGTATAAACAATATTTTTGTGAACTTGGGGAGGCACCAAAAGACATCACAGCTGGGGGTCCAAAATCAGTACCTGGTGTGAACGCCATGGGCGGCGACTACAGCGACTAAAAAAAAGCCAAGATGTGGGGTCTTAGGCCTTGGTCAATGTAGCGGAGAGCTGTGATTTCATTACCCCTGCCTGGTCGGCAATGACATTGAAATTAAAATGTTACATCCACATAAAAACATGGCGGGTGATTGAACTCAACTCAACTTTTTTTACAAACGTAACCTTAGTTTGGTAACAAACAAACTGAGGTTACACAAATACTTGAAGGCTGGACAAAGATATGAGCTATTTTGGTCAATTGAAGTTGTCTTTCAATTCAATTTTTGTGTTGTTACAAAAGAAAGTGGGGCTATTCGCTTCACTTCCGGTACAGTAATGGTAGTTAAACTGTAGGCCGGAAGTTAAACTCCAAACCGGAAGTGGATGAGAGATGAGGACAGGAAAATAATCAATTTGGAGGCCAGTATAAAACTGACATCGCAAGTAAACAGCCTTTGAATTGTACGAAAAAAAGTTTTTACACTAATTGTGATTTATTTCATCGAACTGTCCAGGGAACAAAATGACAAAAGTACTTCAACTGAAATGGAGGAGATCTGTAAAAACATTATAGTTAATCTTTCGTTTTATCTTCTCAAACGAAACACATTTTATACGCACCTAGCAGACGTGAACTGATCAGGTGACCTCTGGGTCAGAAATCAATTTTTAACCAATAGGATCCTTTGACTTACAATGTGAAAGATCAGACATGATATTGACCAATCGTAGGCTTGATTACATCTGAGGTTTACCAATCAGAATTGATCAATGGGTGATAACACGCTATATTGTAAATAATAATTACAGAGCATCAAGATAACTATCGCCATTTTGTACTTGACAAATTCGTCGATGAGAGTTATGACGTTAATTTTGACGCGATCACCATTAAAAGGTTAAAGTTCAAACATTAACGGACTGGAGAATTATTCAATGTTTATTGACGACTGTTTATTATAGCAGTATCGTGGAATGTTATAATTTTGGTCAGTATTCAACTGGAGATAAGTATAGATCTGGAGACTTTGTATTTGTAATGAGGTTCCAGTGTTTCGTATGTGTATCGGGACCATTTATGGCTTCATTTTGCATTATTCCAACTTTCTGTCAGAGATCCTGTAATTATAGAAATACTTATAGATTTTAAGAAAAGTCTGTCATCAAAATTAATAATCAATTTTTGTTTTCGATCAACTACATATATTATTTTTACGATTGCAGATATTTGGAGATATGTCCTACCTTAATTCAATATTGAATAAATCCGAACCCGTTTCTGAAGGTTTTACGATGATATAAAGGTTAGTCAATGAAAGTAATACAGTGTGATATAAATAAAAGATCGAGAACCAAGTGGTGATTATATAAGAATAATAAACAATGTAGATATAAAACATCTGGTGATAATTCTCCTAATAATATTATCTTTTTATCTACTGAATATTACTTCCCGCCAATACCTGTCTTCAGCAGACGATATTGACGTCATTTATCTTGATTAATTCTGAGCTGTGCCAGGCGCATGCCAGGGAGGCTTTCCCTGGATCATTTCCTGTATAATTTGTAATCTCAGATGACTATTAATTATTATAAATGAAATGATATAGAGTTTTACGTCATATTTGATATAATTTCTGAAATGGACTTCGTTTCTTTGTTCATCCTCATAATTTCTTAATAACTTGACATTGTGAAGATGCGGACAGTTAAGATTGGAATTTACTAGCGGTTCTAATAATTCTGACTCGACCAAACAAACCAATCTGGACAATTAATATCATCACCTCAGTCCTCGGGGCAAGTAATGACCTACGAGAAGGTCAACCAATTCTCATTAAACACCGGTCATCTATCACGTGACCTAATTAAACACGAGATATGTGATAATTTGGCGGAGAATGTTCTTTAAATAGATTTCTGGCTGTTAACAAACTGTCTACTGTCAATAGCTACTTGGAAATGAATGAATGAATGAATGAATTAAAATTTGGATTAAAACTTGTCTCCTCTACGACTTGACCCTCTGTTCTCTTATATCTGTCAGTGACATCGATGTTGGTTATTGATCATCATTTATGTATTGGTATATTATATATTGGTATTAAGAGTGAGGAAATTCTTAAAAAGTCC